AAATTTGTCTTAAGGAGAAAGAATCTAGTTCTTGCATCGACTACATTTTTCTTGTCAAACTTCTGTCCAAATTTTGTTCGTTCCCATTTCAAAATACACACACCCACAATTAACAGTAATTTCGTAAGGCATCTATTGTTTATCAAGTGTTGTTCAGCACGATTCTAGCTTGACAATGATGGCACTTCTACAGATGATCTAATTAGATCATATGGTTTCATTTTCTTTCTTCCTTCTTTCTTTCTTTCTTTGTTTATTAGGAGTTTTTGTATTGAATTTGGTACAGTTATGAATGTGGACAGGAAAACCTTAACAGCGTTAAGAAACAACTTCGAATTTTTGCTCTAATTTGTTCTTCGTCGTCTGTTTTTTCCTTAAGAACCTTTTGAATCTCTATTTTTCTTCAGTCTTTTTCCTTTTCTTTCAGGCGGTGCCATTGGACATGGAGGCAACGTCTTTCTATGTTCTCATCACCGGAAAAAAATCTCTTCCACTTGGAATTCGAACAAAGACCCTGTCTCTTATTACACGAATGGAAATTTTTGCCCTTGTACAATTGCTATTGTAGCACGTTATCAGATCGAAGCCAATACTAATTCCACTTTCATCCTTTATAGAACTATTGTGGGTCTCGTGTTGGAACCATTCAAATTTTACTCATCCAATCAAAGTTATTCTCTAACAATATCCTATACTTTTCGGTGTATGGATGCCAAATGATTAACTGGACCATTAAGTCTTGATTCTACAGTAAAATATTACGGCCTGGAGTAGTTGGAATGACAATTTTCAATCTTAAATATCGGTTGCATGATCTTCTCATACTGTCCTAATTACTTATCACTTCGTGATTCTCGAAGTTAACAAACACTCATTTATCTTTCGATTTTCCATGTTCTTTGGTTTTTAATTTTTTATTTGTATTTTTTCTTACGACATTAAAGGTTCGAGGTTTGCAAGGGTTTTGCATGATCACGTTGTTGATTTTTGATTTCTTACAAGATCGGATGTTACATGTTGAATTACATTAGGCCTTTTTTTTCATCGACGTACCTTTGTGTTCATCGTTTTTGCAAATGCCTCTGTGCACGTAAAGGCACATCATAGATTGAAGAATTGTAGGTCTGTTGTTGAGCAAGTCCACATCACACCAGAATGTGTAATTTTTGTTCATCAAACTTGTAAATGATATTATACCCTGCATGGGTATCTTAGGTTAGTATATGCACTCCCATATACATGAGAAACTTCCCTTATCTTTCGTTTAAATAACTATTTATTTCAGAAGAAAATTTATGTCGATCTTCTTTAATTTCTGCAAGTTGTGTTTAGAGCGCATTGAGAATTGTCCACATTATTCCTTCTGCCACACAATCTTTAACTATCGGACATAAAACGATCTTTTAATCGAACACAAATAGTCGGGAATCGGCATGGGGCTGGCACCGCGCCTTGCGCGGTGCTCATTACTAGTATATATATATATATATATATATATATATATATATATATATATATATATATATATATATATAAAACATATTCGAATTTTGATCCCGAAATCGAAAAAAAATATAATAAGAAAGTGAAAATTTTGAATTCCGAAATAACAATTGAAAACTTCAGGATCTGGAATTTCGAATTTCTGCTACAATTTCAACCACTATAAAACTTACATAAATAGATTTCTATACTAGAATTCTTTGAGAAAAAAAAACATATTCTCTTATTTCCTTATTATATATATATATATATATATATTACTATTGATTAAATGTTATAATAGCTATTTTTGAAAGTAATATTAGATAATGAATTTAATATAAATTCGGTTCCAACTTTTCTATTTTCTCGGCCAACGTGAAGTCCAAACTCAATAAAAGCGCGTGGCTGTAGGTGGGAATAGAATCCGGCGCCATTATAAATAAAAAATAAAAAATAAAAAATAAAATTCCAGTGATCTCCACCTACCTTTCACTTGATACATGGTCAAATTTTATCTAGAACCTTCATTTCACTCTCGCTCCTCAGGCTTTTCTACGACTATACCTCACTTCCACAAATTCAACAGCGGCGATCTGAGGTAAAACCCAAACGATTAATCTCTCTCTCTAGTATATATATATATATATATATATAGGGTTTTTTTGCAAAAACCACCCATGTGTAATCTCGAATTGCTGAAAACGACCTCGTGTTAAAACAATTAGCAAATACCCCCCTATAAAAATTAGTCAAAGGCAATAAGGCCCTTAAGAGCTCACCGTGCACTTCACTCGCCATGGATGAGAGTGGGGGTTCGTTTTTTGACACGAAATACCAAAATGCAACCAGAAACTTTATAAGTACCAAAATGAAGTTTTTAAGATTTTCAATTGAGTCCTTTATATTTTCAATTAAGCCATCTTCTTCAACTAGTCCTCCACTTTTTCACCATGATTTTTTCCGGCAAAAACCATCAACCAAACCCATATCTGAACATGAATTTCATTTCTATTCCAAATCCAAGAAAACAAAATGGAAGAAAAACGGCTCCTCAAAATTTTTCGGCACATCCCTGCCCAAACAAAAAAATATACAAAAACCCTTCAAAGAAATTTCTTTCAATTTCCATAGCATTTTCTTCCAATTTGTGAAAACTTAATTCGTACCTTCAGGAAGAATAAGAAGAAGAAGAAGAATGTCAAACTCGAAGAATCATTGGCCGACTCTCCGATTCAACCACGCCGCAGCCGCTGCCCTCTCTCCAAATTGCATAGGACCAAATTGCAATTTTCATAATTTCTCAAAACCTCATCTTCTTTCTCCGTCTCCTTCTTCTCAAATCTGTTCCTCGCCATGGATGCTTCATCCGGCCCGGATGATGCCGCCTCCAAACCCACCTCCGACGAAGAGATGAGACGAATAGGGTAGCGACCAAAAATCTTGATTCAAAAGAAATCTGGAAAAATCCATCAAATTAAACATAAAGCATATTTTTTTTTGGGGAGGGAAGGCAGGTGGTGCGGAGGTGGTGGTGATGCAGATGGAAGAATTTTGGGTTGGGGGAGGAGATGATGGCCGTGGGTTTTCTTCTTTTTCATTATGTTTTTTTTTTCTTTTTGATTTGTTCTAATTATATTCATTTTGCAGTTTTATTTATTTATAATTGAAACATAAATTATTATAATATGAGGGTTAATTTAGTCATTTCCTATAGGTCAACTGCTAATTTTGTAATAAGGGGCGGTGTGCTTTGTTAAAAATAATATAGGGGGGTCTATGCTAATATTTTTAACATGAGGGGTTTTTTAACAATTCCAGATTACACAGGGGGTTATATGCAATTAGCTCTATATATATATATATTTGGACATATTATTATTTTTTAATTTTCTAAAACATACAAAAGTCAAAATTCAAAATTACTTAGAAACCCTAATTACTTGTATTTGTGAAGATTACTTGTTTGATGTTTCTTTTTGCAATTTGGCTACTGTGTGGTGATCAATTTTTCCCGTTTTGTTTTTTTTTTTTTTGTTTTGGGAAAATTCCGAAAAATTTCCGAAAAAATCGGAATCGGGATCAATTCTTGAATTCCGAAAAAAATCGGAAATTTTCCGAAACACCCAAATCCGATCCGATCCGTCCGATTTCCACCCCTAGTTGTATTTCATGTTTTACGTGAAGATGATTGACATGATAAAACAAACTAGACTAGAGCACACATACATACTGCTCTGGGACTCTGCCTCTTGAGTCGGCATGACCTAACTGTGGTAAGGGTTCGATTCGAACACTGTACTCTCTTGCTCCATCAACTAGACGACCCCTGCCTTAAATGTTCAAATATTTTATTTTGAGCAAGTATAATTGAGAGGAGTTTGGAAATTCAAAACAAACGCAAATTTTCAATTTCCCAAAACCAAACATTGTATAACAACTAATTAATTGCATTTAAAAAAAAACTGGAATCAAATTTGAGATGTGAGATTTATCTTCTTATTACTTAATAACGGAAAAATACATGTGGTGGCATGTCATTTGAGTTTCAATCCTTTATAATAATAAGTCTGTGTAATAATATATTATACTATATATAATCCCCAAAAAGGAAAGCAATAGAGGCGAACATATTGGCCTTGCCGTCCGTTTGATTATTACTCAACCCTCCGCCGTCGTATCTCCGCCTAGTTTCATTTCCCGTTTGTACACAGTGATTGATTAATCACTTTAGGAAATTAGAATAATGAATGTTCTCTATGATCTAAAGAATGAATTTCCCAACTAGGCTTTATATATTTATGTTCACTCACGACTTTGAATCTTTTCTAAATTGTTCATCTTAAGATTTATTTATGTTTAAACATGAAACTACGTATATAGATAGGCTTTAATGGTTCTTTGATGTGGCGTTGAAGGTGTTCATTCGCAAATATGATGACATCAGCTGTCAATTTAACAAGTCTCAAACTCTTGATACATTATAAAGATACTTACTGCTCTTTCATTGGGCAAATTGATGACATTTCACTTGACTTTTTCTGATGTTTATCGGCCTTTTACCAAGTGAGTACCAGCCCCATCTTCATTAGTTATTCCTATTTATTATTTCGATGCATAATAACAACACGTGTGGTTAAAAACTTAATAGCAAATTGTATACTGGTAGGAGGATGGGATGGTCTCTTAGAAGTGCAGCTGATGACTCCAGTGGGGGAACGAGTGGGGCAACGAGGCTTATTAGGACTCTCCAAGATATTCAGTTCAAAATTGTTGCTAGATTAAAGAAGTTGCAAAAAAATTTGCCTGTCAAATTATTCTCTTTCTTGGTTGGATTCTATTGTGCAACTGCTTTTGCCACTGTAATAGGGCAAACTGGTGATTGGGATGTACTGTCTGCTGGTTTGACAGTTGCTGTGGTTGAGGGAATCGGGGCTCTTTTGTACAAGGCTTCTCTTCCTTTAGTCGACAACATACGCGACTTTATCATCATTTTCAATTATTGGAAGGCTGGCCTTTTTCTTGATTCCTTCAAGTATTGAAACCTGTTTTTTAGTTGTTGCTTATGCCTTGGTGAATTTTTTTCCCTGGCTTCGCAGAGAAACGAGCATTCATTTCCAGGTTTGCCTTTTCCTTTACCCTCAACTTTTTCAAAATCACTTGAAAATGATAATTTTGGTATTTTAATTTTTCAGTTTAATATTATTCTTTCCTTTTTCTTTGAGGCGTATAGCTATTTTTTTTTTTTTTGTACTACTGTAAAGCATTCGATGAACTGATTAGTGATTACAAAATCATTAGTGACAAATTCTCATCAAATATCAGGTACTTGAAATGCTGAAGGAGCAAGTTTTGTCGGTTTCTTGATAAAATGGTTCAAGAGAGAATTGGACCAATTTTTGAGGTGCTCTTGCTTGCTGCACTCTGTGGGATAGATGGATAAAACTTGCCTACATTCCTGAAGAGATATGAAAGCATCTTCGTATTTGCCAGGCTGATGATGTATACATTTCAGTCGCTGATTGAGGAATGTGTTGATTCTTGTTTTGTACTGGCCTTTGTACCATCGTTCTTAGCTTATGTGGGAATGACTAATGAGGGTGAGATAGATTGATGTGATGGAAAATATTGCTATTGAGGAACCATGGCAGAACCTCGTTCTTGGTAATAATATGCATTGCTGCTTGTGGAAAGAAGAGGATGGAGAGTTCATGCTTTAAAGCTGGTTTCCCTGGGATTCATTTTTATTAGGACATAAACCAAGATCTTCTGCTGTCGATGGAAGGGGTTTCTAGACAAATCTACATCTGAAAGCAGAGATGATGACGAAGTTCAACTTCTTTTGAGAAACATATAGTTTACTTGATTCAAATTCAATACAAATGTTAGGGTGAATTTGATATATGTCCCCTGTAATAATAATACATGTTCATCGATAGCTTACTTTTGATGTACTATTCAAACTTTCACTTATCTCCCTTTGTTACATGGGGTTATATGTCAAACACCCTTCATTGGGATTTTAATTCTTGATAAATCATTTATTTATAAAGGGGGCAACTATTTTAAATCCCAACTTTTGCTTACTTGAATACTACCAAGTTTAAAACCAAAATTGAGTACATATTTATCAGTTTTTTCTTACTTTAATACCAAAATAAAAAGAAAAGTACCAAAACACCCTTCATTCAAAATATCAATTATATCAAATTTTTTTAGAAATTACCTATTCAAAAACCAAATCAAAAAAAAAAGAAAAAAAACCTTTTGTTGTAAAAAAAAAAAACCTCCACCATTTCTTCTCCTCTCCAACCCTCACCGCCGACGCCGCCGACGCCGCCGCCGCCGAACGCCGCCGAACGCCACTGTACGCCGACGCCGCTTCTTCGTGCATTGTTATCAACCCGCTGAACGCCACCGTACGCCGCCGCCGCTTTTGTACAAGTAATATTTTTTTTCGAATTTTTTTTCTTTAATATTTTCGAATTGTTTGATATGGGTAACTAGGATTTGATTGTTTTAGGTAGAAATGATCGTTAATTAGTAATGGGTGCATCTAATTTCAGTCGATTTGAGCATTGATTTGAGATTCGTGGGTCGGTTCTTCATTCAAAATAATCGACCTGTACATGTCGATTTTTGAAGCATTTTCGACAGATTGATGTCGAAAATTCTACAAAAATCGACATGTAGTTGTCGATTATTGTGAATGAATGGTAATTCGACAGAGTAATTTCGACAGTTAGCTGTCGAAATATGCTAGCGAATTCGACAGTTAGCTGTCGAAATTGGTAGAAAATTCGACAG